TGAGTCTACCTACCAGCAGACAACGCTATGCTTTAGTGCCATCGCAACATCATAAAAAAAAAAAAAACTAATGGGGAAAGAAAAAAAAAAGATGTGCACGTATGATTTAAATAAGTGAGTAAGAAACTGTGCCGGTCTTCTTTGAATGCATCATATGTTGGGAGGTCCCCCCCCCAGTCCTTCCTGAAATCATCCCCTGTATTTAAACTGGGAAATGTACGTCACTGAGACCGCGGTGTGTGTAACCACTTCAGTCTGTATGCAGTCTCCGCTTTCAACACAAGAATAACATGTGACATCACTTTACTTCTACAGGGTTACTGCTGCAGAGTGCCTGCAAACGCCAAGGCAAGCAGCACCTAAATATACAGGACAGACTGGAGGTTTGGAGAATTAGGAAACCTTGTGCTGCCTAGGAAGATTGCACCATTAAAACTTCTGCATATAAGAAATCGAAGGGGAAAAAAACACTACAGAAGTTCATCCTTGTTTTTCAACCAGTGATTGGGATTTAAATGGATGTTTCCATAATTCTGACATCGTTACAAAAATAGAAAGGTAGCTAGAAAACAACACCACACTTCAAAAAAAATAAAAACAAAGCTTCGTGGTTCTCAGACATTCTTCCTCCTCTAAAAGCATCCTGACGACTTTCCTCTTCCTGACTGCGCTAAGCAGGATGCTGAGCGCCAGGGTGGGTTTGTCCATATTAGTCATTTTGCAGTCTGGCAAATGCTTTTATAATCAGCCATAGGTAAACTGGTTAAAGTGGTAAAAGCTTTGCTGCATCAAAAAGAAAAAAAAAATTTTTAAACTACCGTACTGTTTGTACTTGCAAAGCAATCGATCATAAATGTACACATTCAAGATCATAACACATTCTAAACTAGAGACTGGACTATTTTACAATCAGAAACACTGAAGATGTTTGGACTGGACTGACTGGTTCTTTACCTTACTAACTGCAATTTGCGAGGCTAAATAATGGCCATTACATTCACCCAAATTCATCCATCTTCCCCCTAGTGTCTCTTATAAGGTTACTGCAGGTCTTCTCTGATCTCTTATGCTGATCCAGAATATGTGGAAACAATGCAAAGTAGGCAGCGTGTCCTTCCAGCTATGTGACTGCGAAACGGGGTCACAACAGCAGAGGACTGTTGTTTGTGGCCTTTAGCTTTGCCACCTGGCTAAACAAGAGGAGAGATGTCAGTCCTGCATCCATCTACTTGCTGAAAATAAACCAGAGCCACAACTGCGCACCACAGAAAGACAAGTATGTGCACATTTTGGTTCCAGCAAAACTAAATGAAGTGATATCACTCATTAATTCATTTTCAGTCTGTGCAAGCTGTCTTTCTAAATCTTCAACCCAGCTAATTTCACTGCATTTATAACCCATTTTAAGTGGCCAAACAGAGACACTGAATCCACTTAAATGAAGTTTGCTCTTGAAGATTTTGTTCAATTTAAACAAAAACATAACAGAACTTTATAAACAAATGAAAATCTCACACTTCTTATTTAAAGGTCAAAATATTTAGGAATAAAACTAAAGAAGAAAATGTTTGAAAGTCTTACAATAACTGAGTGATGGTGTGCGTATTTGTTAGAATATACTGGGAAAAAAAATTAAATAACACAATGATAATGAATGGAATATTAAAATTGAGCTAATTAGCCAAGCATGTATGCCTTTGTCCTCAAAGACTTACACATCAGTATCTCTCCTGAAGCTGGCTCGCTGTCATTTGTACAGAGATCAAAAAATATCAGACAGTCATGAACTAAAGCAGTAAAACCACAGACAAACCCGCATTTTATAGTGTGTAAAGGAAATCCGTCAACAACAGAACTAAATCAAAATGCCTGGATTGGGAGAAAAGTTATGAACATATGAACAGAACTAACGGAAACAACAACAGTGCCACTGGGAGCAAGTCTCAGAAAAACAACGCGAGTTTCAGAAACAGTGCTTTAACTGAAGGGAAGTAATTCTCTGTGTAGCATAGGTTTGAATTTGTATATAAAAGATATCAGATTAAAAAAAGATATCACAGATCAAATATCCATGTCATATTATCTTAATTTATGTCACTGCTGGAAAAAAAGCAATGCTTCACAGAGAAAAATGCATCCTTGTCCTCCATCTCCTTCCCTCTCGATTATTCTTTGACCTTAAATGTCAAAAAATTCAGGGCTCTTCCTTCCCTTTACAGTGCAAAAATATATATAAATAAATTGTGCAAAGGACAGAGAGCAACAGTGCCGGCCAGAACACTACCTGTCAAGTGGTCAGCTATTTAACCTGCCGTATGCTATAGGTCAAATCCGACTGTGTGGCGAGTCATGAGCGATAAAGACAGATCCCTCTAACTGTTGGCTAATCCTGACAGAGAGGTCCTGCCAACACCATTAGGATAAACTGCGTGAGCCAGCACAGTCCTGAGACATTTGAAAGGAACACTTGGGAAAGGTGCTGGTACAGAAAAACAATGACAATGTAGCTGCAGAGTCATAAGATTTCCATATAGTGGTTTCTGCAGAAAAAGCAGAGGCTTTCCAGGAGCTTTTATTCCTTTGGACTTCTCTGTAACTGTAAAACAACATGGATGCATTCAAATCCTGTTACAATGTCCCAAATGACACCATCATTCTCAATCACAGTCGCTGTTAAAATTGCCCTAGTCAGCCTTGCTGTTCATTTTTCTTCATTGCAATGACCTATGGGATCTGGGAAGCATTTTCCTCCTTCCAGCCTGTCACTCACTCACTCAGAAGTGCAGAGACTTCCTACAGTAAAGCCCTCTGGGATGAAATGTTTGCATACTTACACAGCATGATTTGATACCGTGGCTCCAAAGTGCTCGAGGACCAGAGCCATACCACTGATTTCTTTTTTATTATCATTTTACAGAGTCTTCCAGAAGGTCATATTTTATTGAAGTATTTTAAATCTGACACTTTTCAAGCCAAGAAATTCCAAGTGCTTAATATCTTCTCACATACTCTTGGCAAGTTAGGACTGCCTCATAAACAGCCCTTTGAGATGGCCATAAATAAAGCTATGCTGATGTAAATTCTTACAGGTGGGGTTGCAAGTTGAGGCGGGTTATGCTTTAGACATAGATCTTGAGAGGATGCCAGATATAGGAAAAATGTTTTTGTTTTCGTTTCCTGAGAAATTTTTCAGAAGAAAAAATAGATTGACACAAATTTTTAAATTAAAGCTTCTCAAAAATGTGAAGCATTTCTTTACAGACAAGAGAATTAATTCAAAATATACTGATCAATAATAAATGCTTATCATTAAATGGTAATGAACCAATCTTAGATGAGCACAGCTGCTAGTGAGACAAGCCAAATTCTTTATCCAGTTTCCATCACCATGTTGGCATCTGTCACCCATACAAATTACAACTTGCATAAAGCTGTAAAGACCATGAGCCTAGGGCAGTTAATGTGACACCAGTGACACCATAATTGTTTCCTTAATGTCAGACAGACATGGGCAGAGGCTGTGCCACTAACTGTAGCTCTCTGGTTCAAGTGATGGACTATCGATTGTCCATTATGTGTAAAGCTTTTGGCACCGGAGCCGTGGAGACGGCTCAAATGAAATGATTTCAGCTTCACAGCCAAACTGGATTTATATTTGATCTCTGCAAAAATGCAAAGCATAACGTCCTATATCTGATACCTTACCAGCCTGGGTGTGTACAAGCATGTGCAGCTCAAAGGGTCACAACCACAGCCCACAGGATTTGCATGTTCAGGCAGGATATGGATTGCACTACAAACTTCTCAGAGGTAGGACAAAGACGTAACAGTACTGAGCTTTAGACACAAGTAGCAGGGAACTGTTTGGAAGATTTTTTTCCTCCTGATTTTAACTGCAGGACAAGAAAAGCACCAATGGTAGCGGTATCAAAAGTAACCTATAGGATAGTCATCAGAAGCATTAGTCTGTCAACGTCTACCATAAACCGGGGTAATGTCCAAATTTACAGCCCAGTATAGTCCACGCGCTATCTGTGGATTAGCCTCTTGTCCTTGACTTTCATACAGGGATGTGGCTGGAGAGTAGGTATGGGGCGGCACTGGCCCTCAATGTACTTCCATCTCACTTAAGTATTTGTAAGTTATTTTGGATGCATCTTTCGTTCGTTTTAAAAATAAATCTATTACTATACCATGTTGGCGTTTTTTAAATTATTATTATAGAGCTTCCAAGCAGTAATGCTAGTCACTAATGCTGCATCTCCACCTGCAATGTTAGTGTGATTTACGCATTAATGCATCAATTTAAAAAAGTGTATATGATTCAGCACAAACATGTTTTATTTACTATTTTAAGGCTAAACCTTTGTAATATTATGGTACAGGATTATGCATTTTACATATGTTCTTAGTCTGAATACTTCCTTCCCTACTGTAACATTGTTTAAACTTTTCATGTGCACCATCTGCATCAGGGCAGTGTGCTGTCTGACTTTCCGCCCAATCACAGATTTTCTACATCCTATTCATTTCTGATCAAACGGATTTCCTCTGGGCTCCCTTGCCCTTTTCTTTGTCTCCTTTGTGTTATTCTCTTTTAAAACCCTTACATATATCTCCGCCACCCTTATTATTTGGATTTTGTTGCATGCAAAAAAAATCTGTTTTGCAAGAGACGACGTTTGCGACGTGCAGAGATGTAAAACCACAATACACAGAGCGATGCTATACGCCACAGGCGGGTTAGAGTTCCACCAATGGCCGCAGCTCCTGTTACATTAAGTAGCCTTGATTATCTCTGCTGATAGAGGGCTTAGCGGGATGTAGCCGCTGAGACGAGCTGAATGGCAACAGTTGCACTCAGAAACACTGTTTAACTGTTACACTTTAAAATGTTGCAATGCTAAAATGTTGCAACAAAGTGACAAAAAACGGCGGAGGCTACTAATTTCCATGAAAATCCAATTAGCAACAACATGCAATGAATAATTTCTTCTGACCTGTTGCGTCCGTTCAGCCGGATTTTTCATCACAGCCTGCCGAAAGCTGTTATCCACGTAAGACGCCATTGTTTTGGAAGAAGCCGTCTAGAGGATGTGGAATTCCTTATCCTTAAAATTACCTCTATCCAGGGGCAGGATATATACAAAACAAGTCCCCCCTATTGTCTTGCTTTATTCTCGTTGCCTGTGCTCAGATGCTAGCGGGTAAGCTGGGAGTGCCCTGAGCCAGGCCACGACTGGAGCCAGACAGCCGAGCAGTCTCCTCAGGGTGTCTGTCTTTCTGCTGCCCGTGCCGAATCCGGCTGCCAACACCGGTCCCCACCGGGGAGGAAACTTCCTTTAAAAGCGCCGGTCAAACTCCCCCTCTTAAGAGTTATTTTCTTAGCGTAGAAAGTGTTGTCCCTTTATTCAAGCCAGCGTTCATTAAAGCCATTCCTTGTCTCTTCAGCATTCTGCTCTGCTAGCGACGGGGGAGAAATTCCATGTAAGGATCCAGCAAACAAAAAAGTGAGGAAATAGCAAGCGGCTAACCCGTCAGCAACCAGCTCACGCCCATTATCAGAGGAAGACTCCCGTCCTCTCACTGAGAAAATCTACTATGTTTGCATTTTGATGGAGCTAAAAGTCAAGATAGAGCCGCCGCCGCTCTGCTCTGTTGTATGCCACCATGGTGACTGACATACCGAGAGCATAAAGACCAGCGGAGTTACCAGTGGACGTTACTTACAACCTTTCAAAATAATACCCCCAAATGTCGCTAATAAAAAGACAATGAAGGCTGTGGAAATTTTAGGCAAAATATACATAAATAAATATGCATCATTTTCCCCACTTTTATGCAAGGCTTCAACGCAAAAATTACCTTTGTTTATGACCGTTTTTAAAGAAAGAAAATCAGTCGAGTCCACCTATATCAATATAATAAGCTGTTATAGAGAAATATTTTAGTTTCTTCTTTAAACGTGCAGGTTTTTGAACAAGGTTATTATTTTCCCTACAAGTCCGCTTTGGTTAAGAAATTATGCTGTTCTGTTTTGAAGGGAGCACCGTGGCATTTCCTGTCTGGCTGTTGTTGTATTTCACTTGACAGAGATTATTGTCACAAGGAGGCGGCTAATCATGGGCGAGTCCATTTAACAAAAAAGGGAACGGAGGGCGTATTGTGGCAAAAATTATGCTTTGGCTCCACCAAGTGACTCAATGAGGGATTACAGCTGTGAGAAAATACGAAAATATGAACCTTGGTGTATAATTCATTGTTATTTGATCAATGCAGTGTTTCCTTCCTGTTTTAAACAAGTAGCTGTACCACCCTTATTGATGAAATCTAGCACACACCCTGAAGACTGAGTTGCTACCTAGGTTATTCACTCCAACATCCTTCAAAACTAAAGTCTTGTTTAGACCAAAATCCAGAAGACAAAACATTTTTCTGTCAATTTCAGGCCAAAGCTGTCCTGCAGGTTATGGTTGTACTCCAGTGTCAGATGGGACATCTTACCCTATTAAATGTGTTATCCCCCAGGGGTCTGTGTTGGGGCCACTTTTATATTTTCCATTTCCCTCCCCTTTGTATCCATCTTTGAAAAATATAATATGTCATCACTGTTATGCTGATGAAACATAGTTTTACCTCTCATTTACAGCAGACTGTCTTTGTTCACCAACAAGGATGTTTAGCTGCCTTGATCAATGAATTGTGAAAAGTTTCCTTAAGAGTTCCTTCGCTCTGTTAATAGTCTGAGGAAAGTGGTTTTTATGCTTTACAATTGGATTACTGTAACTCCTTGTACATGGGGTCAAGCTTTTTCGAGATTCTGGCTTGATTAGTAAGCCCTTAACATTTAAGCTTTACAAAACTTTTCTGCCTTGGCGTAACTTAGATTATTATCTGCTCTTTTTCAGTTCCCCGCTCACATGGAGTGGACTTTTTCATTTGCTTTACAAAGATTCTGAAACAGTTTTTCTTTTCATATTAAATCAAACTGTAAAGACTTTTTCAAGTCCACTCTTAATACCCTGTTATTTTTGCATTCATGGTTGGTAGTTTCATTGAGTTTCCGAATAAATGAATACATTTATTTATTCATTCATTCATTCATTTCATTTCATTTCATTTCATTTCATTGTGTAATTGGCTTTTCACTCTGTTATTTGCAGTTTGTTTATCTCTGCTGTTTGCGTGGTTGCTATGTGCTTAATAACTATTCTCTTTTCATTTGGTATTTCATTGCTTCATCAACAAGGTTTTGTTTTTATTATGCAGCAAATGGAAAGCTGCTTTTTAATGTACTTAATAAATAACAATTAATTTACTTATAACCAGGGACAGGATATATTTTACTTAATTTTACAGGGCTTGACATAAATAAATACATAAATACTTCATATAAATAAAGGAGTGAATGGGCATAGTTCAACACTTAAATATAATCTGCTTTTAGGCTGTAACTAGGATACAAGTAATGATTCCATGACAACCAGCCATGGCCCTGAGGACAGAGCAGACTGCTGGGCTCATGTTATCACCCATGGGTGGCCATTATCTAGGTGTATCTAGTCTGCAACTAGTCCAAACATAACAGGAAGAGAAATGATGCAAAACAGTGAAACAACTGCAGGACAGCCACAGTATGGACAGAGGATGATTTTTACAGGTAGGCCGATGTATGCAGAGAAGATGCTTTTATTAGTTTCTTCAACTCACTAAAGTTCTGGGGGATCAAATTATGAAGTTAAAATTAGAGCTGAAGCAATGTCTCTGCTGCCATATCTATAATACTTTATGAGTGTGAGTGTGTTGGAATTAATAAGAAAGTATTTGCTGCCAGATAACTGTAACCCAGTTTCCTGTAATTGTGCTTTAAACTGCACACCATGGTTGATCAATTATTAAATATTCAAGGAAATGGTGCATGTCCAAGCAAATATAGCTGCAACTGGACACATGATGGCACTATAACCTGAACCAAACTGACTATTTGTGCCTGTCTGTGTTTGTGTATAATATAATAATATTTATTAAATCGCCTTAAGTTGAATATAGACTACATTTTTATGGTACTTAAGTTTATTAAAGATGTGAATAAAAGCTTTGAGTTTGTTTGTATTTTTTTTTTTTTACCTGCTTTATCCACTCACCAGGTCCAGATGGAATCGGAGACTATAGGCCAAGATCCAATTACTTTACCCGGTACATCGGTGTGGGTGCCACATCACCTGAGGCCACAGGTGACCTCAGTTACCTGTGCCGAGCTCCACCAGATGCCCTCCCACCCATTCCCAGGCAGAGCTATGTGGGGGAGGTGGGCTGGGGATGGCAATATAACCAGCTGTTAAACAGTGGGACGCTGCTCAGCAATATGCAAATTAAGGTGCAACTAAAATCTACCGTGTGCGGCTTATGCAAATGAATAAGCAGAGGCAGCATCTTCTGTTAATGTGCCACAAAGTCACATTGAGATTTAACTTTGAGAAACTCTGATGGACAGATGATTTATCAGCCTTGTGACATCATAAATATTTATTGCTATATTTTTGTTAAGTCGCATATTTTTAACCATTAATGAATATTTTTCACGCAGTCTTCATTGTGATCAATTTATAAATTGAATCATATACACGTTCAAAAAATATTACATTAATCTTCTTTTTTTTTTTAACAGAAAACAGACATACGGGCATCGTTGGAGAACAGAGTCACTCAAAAGTTTCAGAGCACAAAGTAAGATAGAATGCCTTTTCCCTTTGCTCAGAGAGCTATCACACATGTGTGCTTTGTTATGTGGATACGTGAGAACATCTCAGGTTTGCACTGTGTTGAGTGATTGTAAGTGATCTACCTCCACATTCATAATGTAACACTTCCACTTCATCAGGAGCATGCAGCTCCCCAAGCTCTGTAGAAGAAATAGGCCAGACATAAACAGACACACAGACGTCATAAAAACAAACAAGAGGTTTATGTTATTCTTCAGCATTTTTGGAAACAGTGCCGTATCAAAAATTCAACATCTTTGCATTAACTGGCTTAAAATTATATTTATTGGTACAGTAGATAATCAACTATTTAAGAGCCAAAACAGTGAACAGAATCCTGTAGATCTACTACAACCATCAAAAGTAGGGTGACCAGATCTCAGCAAACTAAATGTGGTGCAAGGAGTTGGTTTGGGACACGTTACTAATACTGAAGGGTAGACTGAAATGACTGAATGTCACATTACAGGGCACCATATTTTACTTTGTGGTAAATTAAAAAAAAGTAACTATAGCAAAAACTTAATGTGTTAAAAAGGAATTTAAAAAATGAATTTTGGCAATTCAAGGCTTACTCCCAGACGGCAAGGTGTTCAGGTTCTGCTGCTGCAAAACAAGCCCAAATCATCACCCCTCCACTACCATGCTTGACAATTGATCGCTACATGTAAATAATCTTTCTCACTGCTAAATGATGGCTTCAATTTTTTGGTTAATGATCACAGAGCTCTTCTTTAATTGACCAACACCAACAATTGCATGTATTTTGTTGATTTGAGGCTGCATTTACCTAATTTTAACACCTGCAAAGGACCATGTGATTTTTTTCTGTTTTCATATGTTTAATGGGATAAAGCAAGACCTTAAAAAGTGCATGTCTCCCACTGTGGGCTTTTGTAAACTAATGGCCATTAAAATGTGGGACATCATCTTTATTAATGAGACTGAGGAATAAAAATGCTGTGCAGTGCCTCAAAGTAGGTCATCTCATCTTTGTGAAAGGCCCAGTTTGAATATATGATTGATTAAAGCATCTAAACAGTTTGCTAGACGTAATAAATGCAGAGAATTCGACTATGGCATAGCCATCAGTTGAGTATTTACAGGAGAGTTTTAGTGGCATGATGGCAGTGGTTAATATTAAAAAACAGGACAATACATTTGAATAACAGTGTAATATGAGAAAAACTGTATTAAAGAGTACAGTTGGAAAGCCCCAACTACTGTCACCTGTAATTCCCTTTAAAATATGAGTAAATTAAGCCTATATTATGTTTTGTTATATATATATGTATGTATCTATTGCAGTTTCTGTATCAGCACAGCATTGTACAAATGTATTTAAGCCTTCATTGTATTTAAAATATGCAGCTACTTTTCTAGCCATTACAAGGATGTTTTGTATTGATTTTCTTCTTCACTTTGTCATCCGTGTGGATGTTTCATGATTTTTCATTTGTTCAGGACAGTTTTGCTTTCTGGTCTGAAACATTGCAGTTTCCTGGGACCAGTATGAGACACGATTGACAAGGCTGTAGATTTTTATTCTTGTTGCAGGCGTCATTCACACAAATATTTTTCACCATCTTAGAAAATCAGTCTGTTGTTCCTGAATATATTGTTTTCCCACAAGAAAGCCAATAAAAGCTACAAATGCAGGATAGACAGGACTCTGTAAACCAGATGGGAAGGCACACAAAAAAGCACAAAGCAAAGATGAATGCATTAAGTCAAGAATGAGAAACGACAAAGGAAAAACAAAACCACTGTGTCGTGATATCTTAATGACAAGCTGGGAACAGACAGACACACATTAAGAGGCTAAGCCAAATGACACTTTTGATTTCAGCAAGGAAATATTATTCATATATAATGGAAAGCCATTCCAAATCTGGAAAATACTTACAAAGAAACTGTAATATTGTAAAAACTAGCTGAACAGCACGCATCTGATCAGCCACTGGAGCCACCCAGATTTTCCCTCCTTCATTGGAAAAAAAAAAAGTAATGTTGAAATGATCATTCCAACTATGAAATGTGCACATTTATGGAAATTGTTCCTTCCACAGCTCATAATCCCTCAGAAATGTCTGATAGCTAGTTTTCCGAAATCTGCCAACCAGTAAGAGAAAATATAAACTATAACATAAAAACAAATCGAGACTATGCATCTGCCCAGGGAGTGGAGTGAGGACACATTAGGAACCTCAGAGATGAACTCACAACTTCTTAAAGGAGCCATTGTAGAAGAATACAGCAGACCAGTAAAATGTACTGAAATTATATTTGAAAGTTTTAATAAAAATAAAAAAAACATAAAACAAAAACAAGAGATAAGGTGGCATGTTTTCAGAAGCTTCAAAAAGACAAAGCTCTAGCAGATGAGAGGGGGCGAAGTAAGTTAAAGATCTCGTTTAAAGGAGAATTTGATATGCTAAATGATTTGCAAAGCCAGCAAACAATATGTCAAAATGCAGAGTGCAAGACACAGCTGATCACATTTATGACCATTGATGCAGCTCAAAAAGCTTCTCTCGGCTGTGCATGCAGCTACTAATCCCTTCCTTGAAGAATCCTTTCAGTAAAATATGTGACATGCATGAAATATTTGTAGGTGGTTGTTCGAGGAGAAATTATCATTTCAGAGTCAGGCTTTGCTATAGCACTGCACACTGGAAATGTGCATAGTCCAAGCCACAGACTGTATATAATACAGAAATAGAGTTTTAATTACAACAACATGTTGGTTCAGGCATGCACCAGTTAAAGTCTGAAAAGAAGGGCATGCTTTTATTTTTCCTAAGGCTGACAGTCTGAGAACTGGCACATCTATAAATGTGAACTAACTCATATAATACAGAAAATTGTGCTAGTGACCTTCCATGAGGCTCCAACAGCTCCAAACCATTACATGTAAATGTTGCTTCAAAGTAATTTTCTCATTTTATAATTTCATCTTTATACTGCTAGAAGTTCAAAATATGAACTATTTTTATTCTTTCTTTAGAAAATTATTATTTTTCACCATCCTACTTTTTAAAATTTCACCCTTTAATAAAAAAATATTTTCATATGAACATCCTGTGCAGTGACAAAAACGACTCCCCAGGGATTTAATAGGAGTTAAAGTCAACCACTTTAACTATTAGTCTCCTGCCTCAAACCTCAAGCCTGCACATGTTTTTGTAACAAATAATATGTTCTTTTTGAAGCTGTATGTGATGTAAAAGTGGTTTTATTAGGGAAAATCAATGGCCTACATGCAGTGTTACGTTACTTATTTAAAATACAAAATATGAGTAACTGTATTCCGTTACAGTTACCGTTTAAAAAGGTGGTATTTAGAATACAGTTACTTTGTTGAAATAAATGGATTACACGGCGGTATTTTCCTGTTTCATATTGTCGCGGGTCAGGACTGTTTGGGTTTTGTTTGACAGTGGCTGTATCCCAATTCAGGGTCTGCAGCCTTAAAGTACG